AAACTTTCTTTGAAGGTAATCGCCCAAAACGAACCCCGGGCAGTGCGAAGCAATCCTGAGCCGTCCGACTGTAGGAGTTCCGGTTTGTGGTTCTCGGTTAGGATGTTTGAGGTGCTCCGGGGATTTGGGGAGTTTCCGTTTCAGGGTTGCGGGGTCTAATTTTGGTTCGTCTCCGCAGCCATACTTGGGGGGGGGCTGGGGCACAGGCGGACCTCTCTATGATCCTCTGGCCGCTCGGCTCAGAAACTAGGACCCAGAGTGGGCCCTTATTCCCTTTTTTTAGGGCTTTGGGTTCCCTAAAAAGCCCCTTTGAACCAAAAAAGGGCACCCTTTTCATTCCTAGGTTACTCTTGGGTCTAGGAAAATTGTCCAGAGCTTTCGCAGGGTTCCGCCTTGGGGCCGAGGCTGAATGGTTTAGGGTTAAGGTTTAAGGGTTTAGGGTTTAGGGTTTAGGGAAGATTGAGCCTGACAACCTGCCGGCAGTAAGCCCTAAGCTATAATTGCACAGAAAGCCTTATAACTTGTAACGCTTCAACAGTGATGATCTATGCTACCCTTTCTAATTTTACTGACCCCTAACTTTTGGTGCTTAGGATGTCAGGCGCTCGGCCTGATGGTTCAAGGGATGAAGACTCGAACCTGAAAGGTTCCCTTAAAAACCTTATACTACCTTAGGAATCTTTAATAGGGTTTAGGGTTTAGGGTTTAGGGTTTAAGGTTTAGGGTCCCCACAACTCAAGTGTGCAACCTTAGGGCTCCAAGGTAAACCTCCCAGAATGGTATTGTTCCTGGTAGCAATTCCCGGCTATTGAGAAACAAACCCTCAAGCCCCAAGCACAAGCCCAAAACCCTAAGCCCCAAACCCAACCCTCAAGCCTGCGGTTTCGGGTTTAGGGTTCAAACCCTAAACCCTAAACCCTGAACCCTAAACCCTAAACCCTAAACCCTAAACCCTAAACCCTGAACCCTGAAGCCCTCATGGGAGGATCGGCATCGCCATCGGCCTGGCCAGCGCGCTTGCGGGCTGCGTCCTCTGCGCCTGCTGCGCGCGCCACCGTGGGGCGTCGTTCTCGTCTGTGATGCCCTTCGAGGATCCTCCCTCAAAAAGCCCCAAGGCCCTAAAAACCCAAAACCCAAAACCCAAAAACCTAAACCCTAAACCCTAATCCCTAAACCCTGAACCCCCTCAAAAACCTAAAGCCCCCCCAAACCCTAAAACCCAAAATCCCCAACACCGAAAACCCTAAACCCTAAGACCCTAAATGCCAAACCCTTAAACCCCCAAACTCCAAAGCTCTTAACCCCAACCCTAAGCCCTAAACAAGCCCAAAACCCCAAAGACAACCCTAAATCCCTAAACCCCTCAAACAAAAATTTCCTAAACCTTAAGCCGCTAAAGCCGACAACCCTAAACCCCCAAACCCCGAAAACCTAAACCCTAAATCCCTAATCCTTAAACCCTAAAGTCCTAAATCCTAAATCCCTCAACCCCCTCAAACCCAAACCCTATACCCTAAGACCCTGAATCCCCCAACCCCCTAAGACCCAAACCCTAGAAACCCCAAATCCCTCAACACCAAATCGTTCAACCCCCGAAACTCCCAACCCCCAACCCCCAACCCCCAACCCCAAACCCCAAATCTCAAACCCCAAACCTTAAACCCTAAACCCTAAACCCTAAACCCTAAACCCTAAACCCCAAACCCTAAATCCCTAAAACCTAAACCCTAAATCCCTAAAAGCCACCTTAAGCAGGATCCGGACGCCGGGCCTGCCTCCATCGAGGACAAGGAGTTCTTCTTCATCACGCCCGTGCGGGATCGCGCTCCCCGGGCCGCCCTTTTGGGGGGGTTTAGGGTTTAGGGTTTAGGGTTAGGGTTTAGGGTTTAGGGTTTAGGGTTTAGGGTTTAGGGTTTAGGGTTTAGGGTTTAGGGTTTAGGGTTTAGGGTTTAGGGTTTAGGGTTCCTTGAAGGGTTTCTGTGGGTTTTTCGGGTTTTCAGGGTTTTAGGGTTTAGGGTTGTGGGGTATTGGGGTTTTGGGGTATTGGGGTTTCAGGGTTTTGGAGTTCTAGGGTTCTAGGGTTTCAGGGCTTTGGGGTTTGAGGGTGTTAGTTTAGGGTTCTGAGGTCCAGGGCTTCCGGTTTGGTCCTTGCTGGATTAGGCTTCGAGCTGAAGAGCTACGGGTGTAGGTACTTTGGGTTTTACCATAAAACCTAAGCCCAAAACCCTAAACCCTAAACTCTAAACCCTAAACCCTAAACCCTAAACCCTAAACCCTAAACCCTAAGACCCCTTTTTGGTTTTTGGGGGGCTTTAAAGGATCTTCGAAGCATCCCGCGCTCGACAGCCCTCCGACCCAAAAGTGAATGCTGCCCACACCAAATTCAAGGTTGTTGTGTGGTGTAGGGTTCATGAAGGGTTTGGGGTTTAGGGTTTAGGGTTTGGGGTTCAGGGTTTAGGGTTTAGGGTTTAGGGTTTAGGGTTTAGGGTTTGGGGTTTAGGAACCCCAAGCTCTAAACCCTAAAACTCAGGGCTTCTTTGGCCCACCCAGCAAGGTCCGGAAAGTTGCGAGTGTGGACAGCTACAGCCGGAGCCTCAATCGTGGTGGAGAAGCGCCGTAAGACCGGAAGCCCTAAGCCGTAAACTCTAACAGTTTCCTGGTTTAGGATTTCGGGGTTTAGGGTTTCGGAACCTAAACCCCAAACCCTTCTTAAGCTTGACGAGGCGGCTGACCCCAAACCACAAACCCCAAATCCCAAGCCCTGAAACCCTGAAACCCTGAAACCCTGAAACCCTGAAACCCTGAAACCCTGAAACCCTGAAACCCTGAAACCCTGAAACCCTGAAACCCTGAAACCCTGAAACCCTGAAACCCTGAAACCCTAAACCCTAAACCCTAAACCCTAAACACTAAACCCTAAACCCTAAACCCCAAACCCTGAAACCCCAAACCCTAAACCCTAAACCCTAAACCCCAAACCCTGAAACCCTAAACCCTAAACCCTTACACCCTGAAACCCTAAACCCTAAACCCCTAAACACTAAACCCTAAACCCTAAACCTTAAACCCCTAAACCCTAAACCCTAAACCTAAACCCTAAACCCTAAACCCTCAACCCTCAACCCTAAACCCTAAGCCCTACATCCCTCTTACCAGCTTGGCGAAGCGGCTTTGCTGCAAGGTCTCTCGGACCCCGCGGCGCTCCTCAAGTATTTGCTGGACGCCGCGGCTTGGCGAAACGGGCTTTGGGTTTAGGGTTTAGGGTTTAGGGTTTAGGGTTTAGGGTTTAGGGTTTAGGGTATAATGTAAACCTACTTGGAGGTTCATGGGCACTTATGGCCCCAATTACACGTCTACTTAGAACCTATCAGGGGGCTTATGAGTGTAGTTATATTTGGGGTTAGAAGTGCCCCGAACCTCCAGGTAAGAAGGGGTTCGTTGCCTAAGGACTCGAGCATTCGGGGGGCGGGGGGCCTTGGGTTAAGGGTGTGAGGAATTTGGGCTCTAGGGGTTGTGTGCTCCTAAACCCTAAAACCCAAAACCCAAAACCCAAAACCCAAAACCCAAAACCCAAAACCCAAAACCCAACACCCAACACCCAACACCCAACACCCAAAGCCCAAAGCCCAAAACCCAAAACCCTAAACCTTAAAACCCTCAACCCTCAACCCTCAGCCCTCAGCCCTCAACCCTCAACCCTCAACCCTCAACCCTCAACCCTCAACCCTAAACTCTAAAACCCTAAACCCTAAACCCTAAACCCTAAACCCTAAACCCAAAACCCCAGGACATCCGCCTGGTCCGCTTGGCCTACCTGGTGGAGCTGCAAGTGTCGGGCCAGCCTTGGCCCCGGCGACAGGACTCCGACCTCGGTGAGGGTTTAGGGCTTAGGGCTTGGGGTCTAGGGTTTAGGATTTAGGGTATAGGGTTTAGGGTATATGGTTTAGGGTTTAGGGTTTATTTAGGGTCTAGGGTTTAGGGTTTAGGGTTTAGGGCTTAGGGCTTAGGGCTTAGGGCTTAGGGCTTAGGGCTTAGGATCAGGGTTTTGGGTTTAAGGCTAGGGTTTAGGGTTTTCAGTAGGGGGGATATTCTTGCTATTTTTGGGTTTGGGAGAGTTCATACCTACGAGTCTGCTTCGGATGGTTTTCAGGGCCAAGCCAGCTACCCCAAACCCTATTCCCGAACCCAAGAACGCTTCCCTAAACCCTAAACCCTCAACCCTAAACCCTAAACCCTAAACCCCAAACCCTAAACCCTAAACCCTAAACCCCAAACCCTAAACCACAGGAGGCGGAGGCGACGGTCCTCGCCTCTGGTGAACCCGCTTTGGTCCCTCCCGAAGAGCTCAGGGCCCTGCAGTATGAGGCGCGGGACTCCTCCGCTTTCTTGGGTTTAGGGTTTAGGGTTTAGGGTTTAGGGTTTAGGGTTTAGGGTTTAGGGTTTAGGGTTTAGGTTATAGGATTATAGGGTTTAGGATGTAGGGTTTAGGCTTTATGGGGTTTGTAGGGACTCTAGGGTCTATGGTGTTCGAGGTTCGCTTTTAGTGTTTGTTCGCTCTCTGTGATGCGCAACAGGTCTCTAAGCAGACTAGCAGGCAGCTGTATGTCACGTGTCATGCTCTGGCTTCGACAAAAGCCTCGCTGGTGAATGTGAATTTTTCCTACAGTTGCCTTTCTTTATGATGAAGAAGGGAGCCCGGTTCATAGCATGAGATCCGAGGAAACTTTCCAGATTTTGAATGTCTGCCTCCTTCCCTCGTTCTCCCTCCTTCTGGCACCCTAAACCCTACCTAAACCCTAAACCCTAAACCCTTAACCCTCAAAACCTAAACCCTAAACCATTATGAACTTCTCTCTGGGAATTCGACCGTGTGCATGTAATGGTTGATCTACAGAAAGAGGTATAACGCATTTTGTAAGCAAGCATCTGAGGCAATATACATACCGTTATCAAGAGTACATTAATAATTGTCTCGTTGTTTACAGTTTTTAGAATGCAGAATGAAGAACATGTTGAGATGTCTCGCGTTCTTTGTGTATTTCCAAGGCTTGAATGTAATGGCTCTTGCATGGTATGTATGAACATTGTTTTTTGGTTTTTATGTATCACGTATGTACGATGTTCAATTGCATTGATGGCACATATGAATGGTCAGTTGTATAAGGAGACAGTTGAATATATGTGTATGCATGTGAATGCATTTTGCAGATACACACACACACACGCATATACATATATATGTATATATATATATATATATATATGTGTACATATATATATATATGTACATATATGTGTATAGACGAACGTCGACCGTTCAACATTTGATGAGTCTTTTCTTAAGGACACTGCCAATATAGTACACTCTACTCCATATCCATACCGAACATCACGCGAGCGTCAGGTGGTCATGCCGCTGCTTTGCTCCTAAACCCTAAACCCTAAACCCTCAACCCTAAACCCTAAGTAATGCTCATAATTTGGGAGTGGGGTTGCTCGGTCCTGTGGGTGGTGGGGGAGGAGGGCTGTGGGGGGCGGTTGGGCGGGATCGCATGATCGTGCTGGACCGTTCACTGGCCCCACTCCCGCAGGGGATGATCAGCATAAAACGAGGGGACCCAAAGTTGATCTCAGCGTTTCGGGCCCAACAACCCTAAGCCTTAAACCCTGAGCCAAGACCTCAAGCCCAAAGTTCAGAGACCCCTAGCACACTACCGATGCCATGGCCCATTGCTACAGAAGTCTACGCGAAGCACCCCGAAAACACCTATTCTAGTTCATCAGGCCTCCTTTTTGTTCTAAAGCCCGTCAGGGGAGCCTAAAACCTAAACCTAAACCCCAAACCCCAAACCCTAAACCCTAAACCCTAAACCCTAAACCCTGAACCCTGAACCCTGAACTCTAACCCTAAACCCTAAACCCTCTTCTAGTCGTCAGGGGAGCCGACATGGGTTCTTCGCCAAGCGCGGAGGGCCAGATGAGCACTGCATCCATTTCGGCTCCATCAGCCACTGCTGGGAATCCATGGAGCACCCAGCTACCAGATGCAACGAGGGTTTTGGGTTTAGGCTTTTAGGGTTTAGGGTTTAGGGTTTAGGGTTTAGGGTGCCAAACGGACCCACTTACTTAAAGCCTTCTTTTGTTTTGTTACAAAGCCCACATGGGTCAGCACTCACGCCCGTTTAGGGAACCTCTAATACAAAAAGCTTGGATTGCAGGGGGCTAAGGCCAGGGAAGGAGGAGGACACCAGCCAGGGCGGTCAGGGGCAGAGGGCAGTTTTTGAGCCAGAGCCGCCTGCCCCACCGGCCAAGGCGACGGGTCAGGGCGGCAATGTGCGCTAGGGAAGCCCAGGGGGCAACGTGCGCGGACAGCTTGGCTGTGCGCGGACAGCGTGGGGTTGAGCATAATATAATATAATACAGGGCCTGTGCTTGCCTGGAGGGTAAGCCAGCCTGGAGGCCAGCTCGGTCGCCCGCCTGGGGCTCCCTCGCAGGGTCTCACTGAGCGCTCGACCAGCGCCCGCCTACCCCAAAAGACAAGAGAGTGGGGTGGCGGGCGGTTTAGGGTTTAGGGTAAAGGGTTAAGGGGTTCGGGGCTTTAGGGTTTTAGGGGTTAGGGTGATGTTTGGGGATGTTTAGGAAAGTTTAGGGTGTGGGTTTGAGACCCTTCTGCCCTGCTCTCTAGAACCCTCCGCCGAAGCTTTTCTCCTTCCGACATGCCCTAAAGCCCTGAACGCCTTAAACCCCCCCTGGTTCTTACTGGTTCTTACTAGGGAATTCGGGAATTGGGCCCTTTTCCTTTAAGCGATTCTATAGGGTATGGGGCCCTATATATACCCTTTAAGGGATTCTAAAGGGTACCCTGATTCGAAGCCCAGGATCCGTGGGGATACCAGTTGGAGGAGGCCGTCAGCCGGTTCACAGAGAAGGAAGGCGATCGTTCCAAGGCCGGGGGAAGATGCCGGGGTCACGAAAATAGGGGGCGCCAAAAGAAACCCCCCAAAGAGTAGGATTCCCTTCGATTCAGGACCCCAACAAGGTACCCCCTCGTATCGGAAACCCCCATTTTGGCTCAATGTTTGTGTGTGTGTTTTGGCAGGTTTCGGGAGGCTCCGAGCTCTAACCCCCCAAACGATACACCTAAAATCCCTAAGCCCTAAACCCTAGACCCTAAGCCCAAAACCCTGAAGCCTAAACCCTACACTCTAAACCCTAAACCGACATGTGTTGTGTGTAGTGAGGAAGTAGATGACCTCCTGGGCACAGCAAATCGGCTTGGACGTGAGCAAGCCCATGCCCAGAGCCCTTAAAACCCTCGGCACTGTATTTACAACCCACTCATAAGCCCCTTACTTGCCCTAACAGGGTCATAATTGGGTGATAAGTGCAATTCCTACTTGGTTCGTATAAGTACCATGAACCTCCAAGTACAGGTGTGGCTCTTCATTGACTACATGTCGCTCCATCAGTACAAAAGGGACGACCATCAGCAGCGGATATTCAAGCTTGCGCTGGACTCGATGCACATCCTCTATGCGCACGAGGTGGTTTAGGGTTTAGGGTTTAGGGTTTCGGGGCTTTGTCATCATGTGCAAGAGCAGAAGGCTTGGAGGCCTCATAAGGGTTTAGGGTTTAGGGCTTAGGATGAGGGTTTAGGGTTTAGGGTTTAGGGTCTAGGGTTTTGGATTGAGTCTACAAGCTTCAGGGGGCTTTTTTGGGCTCTGCGCAGTGAGGTGGTGAGGGTCGAGATCATCAACAAGCTGACGCCGCCCGACAGAAAGGCTGAGGTGGAGAAGGTCCGGCCCACGATCCACGTCTACCAAGAGACTTGGGGATACCTGGGAATTCATTTATTTTTGGGTTTAGGGTTTAGGGTTTAGGGTTTAGGGTCGTCTACCAAGAGACTTGGCTTTCTGCTGGCTGGCTCTTAGGACTTTAACCCTTGGGGTTTTTGTAGAAACTACAACAAGGTGCCTAGAAGTTAAACTAAGGCTACCAAGAGACTTACGAATATTTGGGAATATGTGTTTTAATTTTTGGGTACTATAATTCCGAAGAGACAGCTGAAATGATCATTTTTGCCAGGGCTCCAAGCTTAGTGAAGGAGAGCTGTAGCCGGGTTGTGGAGACTCCCATCTACGACCTCACGGCGAACTCCGTGCCCTACTCTGAACGAGGCGCTCTTGACTAAACCCTAAACCCTAAACCCTAAGCCCGAAAACCGAAAACCCAAAACCCAAAACCCAAAACCCAAAACCCAAAACCCTAAACCCTAAACCCGAAACCCGAAACCCTGAACCCTAAACCCTAAACCCGAAACCCTAAACCCTACACCCTAAACCCTAAACCCTAAACCCTAAACCCTAAACCCTAAACCCAACGAGGCTGGTGTCAGGCGGAGAAGGAGTGGGCAAATCTGCGCGAGACGTTTGCTGCTGGCGACGTCCCCTTGCCGCCCGAGCTCTTCTCAAAGCAGCTGCTTGTCGTTCCCTAAACCCTAAACCCTAAACCCTAAACCCTAAACCCTAAACCCTAAACCCTAAGCCCTCGAATAAGCCAAGTCCTTCGTCGAATAAGCCAAGTCCTTCGTCGAATAAGCCAAGTCCTTCGTCGAATAAGGCAAGCCCTTCGTCGATTAAGGCAAGTCCTTGGATGTAGATTTTATATTTTCTTAATGTTATGATTCTTTGGGCGGGTGTTTTTTTTTTCCTAAGCCTGGAACCCCCTAATGACTATGAATGCTAGAACAGTGACCCTCTAGACCCTAAACCCTAAACCCTAAACCCTAAACCCTAAACCCTAAACCCTAAACCCTAAACCCTAAGCCCTAAATGCCAAACCCTCTGAACCCCAAGTCCACAAACCCTATAGCAAAAACCCCAGACCATGTGGCTCCCCTCTTCGAAGAAGGATGGACTTGCTGTATACCCTTTCAGAAATAATGTAGGGCACCTCTTTTTGCTGTATACCCTTTGAGGGATTTTATAGGGCACCTCATCTTGCTGTGTGCCCTTTAAGGAGTTATATGGGGTACCACATTTTGCTGTATACCCTTTAAGGAATCATATGGGGTACCTCATTTTGCTGTATACGCTTGAAGGGATTGTATAGGATGCCCTTTAAGGGATTCCATAGGGTACCTCGTTAGCCAACAGTAAGTCTTCGAAGAAGGATGGACTTGCTGAAGTTTACGCACCGAAACGACGCGGACTTGGTGAAGAAGCTGCAGGAAGAGGACGGGGGACCCTGAATGGAACCCTAAACCCTAACCCTAAACCCTAAACCCTAAACCCTAAACCCTAAACCCTAAACCCTAAACCCTAAACCCTAAACCCTAAACCCTAAACCCTAAACCCTCAACCCCAAAGAGGTCTTCCACATCAAGGTCACGGGCACCACCAAGCTGAACCTCAAGCTTTCGCAGCAGGAGGTCCCCATCCTCTGCCAGGCAATGGTTGGGGTTTAGGCTTTAGGGTTTGGGGTTTAGGGTTTAGGGTTTTGGGTTTAGGGTTGAGGCTTGAGGGTTGAGGGTTGTGGGCGTTTGTGGTTGAGGGTTGAGGGGTGAGGGGTATCTTAGTTGGGGTTATGCTGTAGTAGGCCATATCCACAGCTACCCTGCTTGCAGCCCTACTTGTAACAGCCCATGAACCCTGAGGTAGGTAGACCCTGGACCCCGAAATCCAAAAACCGTACAACACTACCTGAGAACCTGAACCCCAAGCCTCCTCGGTTCCCCCCTGGGTTCCCATAATTAAGGCACTTTTTAGGGATGTTAAGCCGAATTAGGGTTGTTTAAGGTGGAAACCTAGGGGGGCGTAGTATAGAGGGGGTAGTAGGGACACCCATGAATACCCCGAACCCCAGGTCCCTAAATCCCCCGCACCCGCAACCCGAAACACAACGACCCTACAATCCTAAACATGTCTGCTACTTGCTTAAGAACCCGCCCAGAATAACACTCCCAAAATTGCCCTTAAAAAGGATGAATATTTGTTTTCCTTTTTTTTTGGGCGGGGGGGGGGAGGGGAGGGGGAGGGAGAGGGGGAGGGGGAGGGGGAGGGGGAGGGGGAGGGGGAGGGGGAGGGGGGAGGGGGAGGGGGAGGGGAGGGGGAGGGGAGAGGGGGGAGGGGAGAGGGGGGGGGGGAGGGGGAGGGGAGGGGAGGGGAGGGGGAGGGGGGGAGGGGAGGGGGGGAGGGGGAGGGGAGGGGTGGAGAGGGGGAGGGGGAGGGGAGGGGGAGGGGGAGGGGGAGGGGGAGGGGGAGGGGGAGGGGGAGGGGGAGGGGGAGGGGGGGGGAGGGGGAGGGGGGGGGGAGGGGGAGGGGGAGGGGGAGGCAGGGGGGAGGGGGAGGGGGAGGGGGGAGGGGGAGGGGGAGGGAGGTGAGGGGGAGGGGGAGGGGGAGGGGGAGGGGGGGGGAGGGGGAGGGGGAGGGGGAGGGGTGTGGAGGGGGAGGGGGAGGGGGAGGGGGGAGGGGGAGGGGGAGGGGGAGGGGGAGGGGGAGGGGAGGGGGAGGGGGAGGGGGAGGGGGAGGGAGGGGGAGGGGGAGGGGGGGAGGGGGGGAGGGGGAGGGGGAGGGGAGGGAGGGGGGGGGGAGGGAGGGGGAGGGGGAGGGGGAGGGGGAGGGGGAGGGCGAGGGGGAGGGGGAGGGGGAGGGGGAGGGGAGGGGGAGGGGGGGGGGAGGGGGAGGGGGAGGGGGGGGGGGGGTGGCTGTTGGGTTTACAGGCCCTTTAACCTTTTGGGTCCAGTCAAACCTAACACCCTCAACGTGTCGGTGGCCTTTCCTGGCACCTTGTGTGGGTTGCATGGTCCCACCCCAAAGATGATGGGGCTCTGTCCACCAAAAATGTGGGATTTCTGGAGGGGACCCTAAACCCTAAACCCTAAACCCTAAACCCTAAACCCTAAACCCTAAACCCTAAACCCTAAACCCTAAACCCTAAACCCTAAACCCTAAACCCTAAACCCTAAACCCTAAACCCTAAACTGGCCACAGGAGCCCCCGAAAACAAGCCGACGCCATAGAATTTTTTAAGGTTCTGAAGCTCTGAAAGGCGGTATGCCCTAAGCCCTCAGCCCTAAACCCTAAACCCCAAACCCTAAACCCCAAACCCTAAACCCCAAACCCTGCACCCTAAACCCTAAACCCCAACTTGGGTGCAACAGGCATCCATGAGTTGGTGGCACAGAGCTGTTGGCGTGCCCCAGACACAAGAATTGAACCTCTCCAGCCCAACGCTCCTAAACCCTAAGCCTAAACCCTTAAACTCCAAAACCCTAAACCCCAAACCCTAAACCCTAAACCCTAAACCCTAAACCCTATACGCTAAACCCCACGCTCGGAGTTCTGGAGGCCCTGAAGAGTTACAAGAACCTGGAGATGGCAACCCGCTTCATTCGGGCGTGTGGTCTTTGTGGAGGGGGTTCGAGGTTTATTGAAATTATTCAGGGTTCAGGTCCGGGGAAAGTTTCGAGGAGTTTCGAGGAGTTGCGTTGTTAGATTTTTTGTTTACAGTTACAGGGGCTTGAGGGTTTAGGGTTTGGGGTTCAGTTGTTAATGTCCTTGAGGTCTTGAGGTTCAATGATGGAGTGATTGAGGGTTTAGGGTTTAGAGTTCAACGTGCCAGGGCCTGAGGCAAAGGGATTGTATGTTTCCAGCTTGACACACAGAGCCTGCACTTCGATCAGAGGCCTGCAAGGCTGAACCCCCATAAACCCTCAACCCTTACTTCACGTTCAGCGTTCAGGGTTCAGGGTTTAGGGTTTAGGGTTTAGGGTTTAGGGATTAGGGTTTAGGGTTTAGGGTTTAGGGTTTAGGGTTGCTGCGAGGTGATTGTCCGCGACACCCCCCTGGGCTGCGCCGGAGCAGTCGCCATTCTTCAGACGGGGGCGCGGCACATCTTCCTTGATGCCTGCCACCTGGGCGACGACGAGGAGTGTCTGGGGTTCAGGGGGTTTTAGGGTTTTAGCACACCCTTTTGAAAATAAGCAAAATTGGAAGAAGATAGTTAGGGCTTGGGGTTCAGAGAGGTTCAGGGGGTTTTAGGGTTTACAGTTGAGGGCTTGGTGTTTCCGGGAGAATTCAGGGGCCAAGGGCTGTTTGGGGGGTTCGGAGAGGCTTCTCGGGGTTCGCAGGCCCCTGCCCCAATCTTCCCAAACCCTAAACCCTAAACCCTAAACCCTAAACCCTAAACCCTAAACCCTAAACCCTAAACCCCGAACCTCAAGAGTTCGGGCTGAGCACCCTGTTCCAAACCCGAAGCCCCCTAAACCCCTCAACCCTCAACCCTAAACCCTCCACCTCTCCCCACCCCCCCCTCCCCCCCAACAAAAAAAGAAAAACGAAGAAGAACAACAAAAGTCAAAAGCAAAAAACAAGAAACAAAGAGCACAAGTCAAAGACAAAAAACAGGAAACACAGAACACAAATCAAAAACCAAAAAACAAGAAGCACAAAGCAAAAGGAGAAGCAAACACAACAAAGCAAAGAAACAGACAACAATCACAAGAGCAAGAAGCCAGAACAAGAAAAAGCAGAAGCCGTAGAGACCTTTGCTTGGGGAGGCCCGCCTTAAAAAAAAATATAGAAGAAAACAAAACAAACAAACAAAAGGACAAAAAAGCAAAGGGTTTAGGGTTTAGGGTTTAGGGTTTAGGGTTTAGGGTTTAGGGTTTAGGAAGACCACCTGTGGGAGGCCCGGGCCATGGCGGAGGTTCTGCGGCAGACGCCGAGCGTGGAGAACCTCACCCTGCGCAACACGCAGATCTCCCGGCAAGGGGTCCAGGAGAGCTCTGAGGGTTTAGGGTTTGGGGTTTAGGGTTTAGGGTTTAGGGTTTGGGGTTTAGGGTTTAGGGTTTAGGGTTTAGGGTGTGGGGTTTAGGGAGAGCTGAGGCTTTTAGGGGCTTTTTAGGGGTTGTTATTGGGGTTCTTAGGGTTTTTTAAGGGTTTTTGTAGGGGTTCTTGAGTTTTTAGGGGTTTTCAGGTTGTTTTTTTTAGTTGTGTTTTTTTTAGGGGGGGGGGGTTTAGGGGGTTCAGGGTTTAGGGGTTTAGGGGTTTAGGGCTCTTAGGGGTTTGGGGTTTAGGGTGGTTTGGCGTCCAGCTACGCTTTGGGCTCAGAGGTTTTTCAGAACCCTAAACCCTAAACCCAAAACCCAAAACCCAAAGCCCAGCCACAGCCCTCATACAGAACGGCGATTGAAAGTTTCGAAACCCCAAAACATCCTGGAACCCCTCAGCCCAAAACCGGAAACCCAAAAACCCAAAAAGCCTAAACCCTAAACCCTAAACCCTAAACCCTAAACCCTAAACCCTAAACCCTAAACCCTAAACCCTAAACCCTAAACCCTAAACCCTAAACCCTAAAACCCCCTAAAAACCCTAAACCCTAAACCCTCACCCCTAACCCCTCAACCCCAAACCCTAAACCCTAAACCCTAAACCCTAAACCCTAAACCCTAAACCCTAAACCCTAAACCCTAAACCCTAAACCCTGAACCCTAAACCCTAAACCCTAAACCCTAAACCCTAAACAAGACAAGAGGAGCTCAAGGAGGCCGCGCGCGTCTTCAATGCTGTTGACCTGGACATCCACAGCAATGAGGTGCTCGAAAGAGCAGGGGTTTAGGGTTTAGGGTTTAGGGTTTAGGGTTTAGGGCTAGGGGTTTAGGGTTTAGGGTTTAGGGTTTAGGGTTTAGGGTTTAGGGTTTCGGGTTTTGGTGTTGGGATTCGGAGTTGCCCCTCGCCCCAAAACCCTGAGCCCTAGAGCCCTAAGACCCCAAGACCCTAAGACCCCAATTCCCTAAGACCCTAAGACCCTCAGACCCTAAGACCCTTAGACCCTTAGACCCTTAGACCCTTAGACCCTTGGACCCTTAGACCCTTAGACCCTTAGACCCTTTTAGACCCTAAGACCCTAAGACCCTGAAACCCCTGAAGCTCTGAATCCCTGAAACCCGCAACCCGCTCCCGCTCTGGCTTCATGAAGGACAGCCGTCGCTACAGGACTGTCCGGTTGAGTGTTTAAACGTTTTGGGTTTAGGGTTAGGAGTCAGGGTTTAGGGTTTAGGCCCTACACCCTAAACCCTAAACCCGAAACCTTAAACCCTAAAACCCTAAGCCCTAAGCCCAAAACCCTAAACCCGAAACCCTAAACCCGAAACCCGAAACCCTAAACCCTAAACCCGAAACCCTAAACCCTAAACCCTAAACCCTAAACCCTAAACCCTAAACCCTAAACCCTAAACCCTAAACCTCAAACCCAGGGCAGCAAGCGTGATCAGGCCTTTGCCGTGGCAGCTGGTGAGGACCGATCTTCGGAAGGCAATGCTGCTCGGCTTCGGCAGGGTTTAGGGTTTAGGGTTTAGGGTTTAGGGTTTAGGGTTTAGGGCTTAGGGTTTAGGGCTTAGGGCTTAGGGCTTTAAGGGGTTCGGGCCGTAGGGGTTTAGGGGCTTTAGGGGTTTTAGGGGGTTTTAGGGGTTTTAGGGGTTTTAGGGGTTTTAGGGGTTTTAGGGTGTTTAGGGTTTGTAGGGGTTTTAGGGGTTTTAGGGGTTTTAGGGGTTTCAGGGTTGAAGGTTGAGGGCTTAAGGGTTCGGGCCTTAAGGGTTTTGGGGTTCACGGCTTAGGGGCTTAGGGGTTTTAAGGCTCAAGGGTTAGGGGGTTTTCGGTGCTTAGGGGTGTTAGGGCTTAAGGGTTGCGGGGTTTAGGGTTCAGGGCTTAGAGGTTTAGGGGCGTTGGGGGTTCAGGGCTTGAGGCTTTTGGGAGCTTAGGGATTTTCGGGACTTTTCGGGTTTTGGGGCTTTAGGTTTTTGGGGGTTTAGGGGTTGAGGGCTGAAGGGGTTCAGGGCTTGAGGGTTTTGGGGGCTTTAGGCTCTTTGGGGTTAGGGCTTCGGGCTTCAGGGCCTAAGGACTTGGGGGTGTTAGGGTTTAGGCCTGAAGGGTTTTTTTGGGCCCGGGGCTCTTCTGCAAGCCCTCAATGCCACAACCTTCAGAGATCCTAGCCCCCTAAACCCCTAAACAACCCTAAACCCAAAACCCTAAACCCTAAACCCTAGACCCTAAACCCTAGACCCTAAACCCTAGACCCTAGACCCTGAACCCTAAACCCTAAGCCCTAAATCACTAAGCACAAGGAAAGGCATGAAGTCTGAGCACAAGCTTCAACCCTAGACCCTAGACCCTGAACCCTAAACCCTAAGCCCTCAACCCTTGGGGCATCGTTAAGGCCTGGGATCTGGACGTGCGCAACTTGGTAGCCCAGTGGTACCGTTTTTTTTTTCCACTTTTTTTGAGTTATGGGTTCCCTGATAAGGGTTTAGGGTTTAGGGTTTAGGGTTTAGGGTTTAGGGTTTAGGGCTACTAAGGCAAGATGCACTGGTACTCGCACTACCGGCACACGGTCTTCGCCATGATCCAGGCCTGCCACGACGAGGGCGCCGAAGGCCCGCGGTGAGGGTTCCGGGGGTCTAGGGGGGTTTAGGGTTTCGGGTTTAGGGTTTCGGTTTAGGGTTTAGGGTTTAGGGTTTAGGGTTTAGGGTTTAGGGTTTAGGGTTTAGGGTCCTCTCTAACTCCTAGACCCCAAATCATAGACCCTAAACACTTCCGGTGCGTTTGCCGACTCTACCAGCACAGAAGGAGAGAACCCCAAGCCCCAAACCGTTCAAGTAGGCAAAGCCCGAAGCTTAGGGTTTAGGGTTTAGGGTTTAGGGTTTAGGGTAGGGGACTGAAGCCCAAGACCCCAAAGCCCGGGTTCAGGGTTCAAGGCTTAGGAGAATGCAGGTACCCTAATTAACGTCTTACCTACACCATGAACCTCCAAGTAGACCCACCACAAGCCCTTTAAGCCCCAAGCCTTTAAAAGACACACAGAGCTTGGGGTTTAGGGTTTAGGGGTTGAGGGTTGAGAAGCCCTAAGCCATAACCCAAAAACGCTGAGCTCCTCAAGAATCCCTCAAACCCTAAACCCTGAACCCTAAACCCTAAATCCTAAACCCCAAACCCCCAAAAATTGGGCCCACGAAAGCGGCCCAAGGCATCGCGCTCATGGCTGTGGCCCCTGAGCTCCAGAACGTGGTGACTCTCAAGGCGACGTTTCTGGCTGGTTCAGGGTTTAGGGTTTAGGGTTTAGGGTTTAGGGTTTAGGGTTTAGGGTTTAGGGTTTCAGGTTCAGGGTTTAGGGTTTAGGGTTTAGGCGGTTTTCAACTTACGGAGTATCTTCGTAGAGGATGAGGGAATGAGGGGTTAAGGGTGTAGGGTTTTTAGGGCTTTTGGGGCTTTTGGGGCTTTTAGTTTTTTTTTTTCGGGTTTTTAGGGTTTTAAGGGGTTTAGGTTTTTTGGTATTTTTGGGGTTTTTAAGGGTTTTCACGGAGGGTTTTTTCGGGGCTTAGGGTTTGGGGGGCTTAGGGGCTTAGGGTTTGGGGTTTTGGAGGTTAGGCTAAGGGGGGGGTGTTCGAGTTTTGGGGGTTTGGGGGTTTAGGGTGTGGGGGTTTCGGGGTTGAGGGTTGTGGGGTCGCAGGGATTCGGGTTTAGGGAACCTTTGGGGAACCTTATCCAATTGCATTCCGTATGAGCCATAGATCTCAGGCCCTGGTGGTACCCTGAAAGCCCCCCGAAACACGCGCGGACCTGCAAAGCCTAAACCCTTAAAACCCTAAACCCTTAACCCCGAAACTCCTAAATCCCTCAACCCTTAATCCCCCAACCCCAGAAACCCGAACACCCTGCACCTTTCATCAAACCCCCAAATCCTTATGCCCTTAAACCCAAACATGTTCCCGCAAACCCTAAACCCACACACCCCCGAAACCCACCAAACCCAGAAGCTCTGAGAAGCCCAAACCCCCTTCAAACCCCGAAACCCAAAACCCGCGAAATCCTAAGGCAACTCGGCCCCCAAATCCCTAAGCCCTTAAACCCGAAATCTTGAGCAGGTTTCCCTCAGACCCTCTGCCCACACAGCCGAAGCTCTGGCCCATAAACCCCAAACCCCAAACCCCAAACCCCAAACCCCAAACCCTAAACCCTAAACCCTAAACCCCACACCCCAAACCCTGAACCCTAAACCCTAAACCCTAAACCCGAAACCCTAAACCCTAAACCCTAAACCCTAAACCGAAAGGAGTGGCCTTGCCTGGAGGAAGATCTGCCCAGACCCCAGGAGGTGGCACAGAGCCTACGGGTGGAGGGCTGCGGCCCAAACCTTACGCGAGTTGAGGCTTTAGGACTTAGAGTTTAGGGTGTAGGGATTTAGGGGGTTTAGGATTTAGGATTCAGGGTTTCGGACTCAGGGTTGTTGGTTTAGGATTTGGGGCTTGGGTTTAGGGATGCTCACCCTAAACCCTAAACCCTAAACCCTAAACCCTAAACCCTAAACCCTAAACCCTAGACCCTAAACCCTAAACCCTAACCGGGCTTAGGGGGGATGCGAGAGCCGAAGGTAGAATCATTGGCATGGCTCTCTGCAGCATTTCGTATGATAGAAAGTATTGGGGTGTACCCCCTTAGAGGAACAGTCCTTAGTCGGGATTATTTTAGGGTTTAGGGTTTAGGGTTTAGGGTTTAGGGTTTAGGGATTACAATAGGGTACTATAATCCCAATTGAGGACTTTTAGAATAAGGGGGAACGCCCAACAAAGTATTTTAAATACCCATGCTAGTCACATCCATCAAGGCACCTAAGCCCCAAAACCTAAAACCCTAAACCTTAAACCCCAAACCCTAAACCTTAAACCCCAAACCCTAAACCCTCACGGTTGGGGGTTGTGAAGGGAGGTAACAAAGACGGAGGATTCCCAGGGCGGTTTAAGGTTTAGGGTTAAGGGTTTAGGATACCCTCCTCCCTAAGCTCAAGCATTTCAGAATGCACGATTCGAGGCCCATTGCCTACAATGGGCGCAAGTATCCTTTCTTTGATTCCCAGGCGGGGATGGGGTGGGGTGAGCATCCCTTCACCCTGCAACCCTGAAAGCCCTGAACCCTAAACCCTAAGCCCTAAGCCCTGAACCCCTGAACCCCTGAACCCCTGAACGCCTGAACGCAAAACCCTAAACCCTGCGCCCTAAGCCCTAAGCCCTAAACCCTAAACCCCAAACCCTAAACCCCAAACCCCAAACCCTAAACCCCAAACCCTAAACCCTAAACCCTAAACCCCAAACCCTAAACCCTAAACCCTAAACCCCTAAAGCCCTAAACCCCACAAGTGCAGGGGCGCGAAGTGATCCCCTTCAGCATGATCACCTTCCGGAAGGTTGCGCTTCCGGATCTCCGCCGCTTTCGGCGCATTATGAGGGTGTAGGGTTTAGGGTTTAGGGTTTAGGGTTTTGAGGGTTTGAGTGGTGGGAGAATTTCCCGGGGTGCCAGCAGGGCTTGTTAAGGAGCTTTTGGGAACTTGGAGGAGTTGGGGGTTTAGGGTTCGGGGTTCCATGGCTCTCGCGGGTCGTTAGGGTCTTGGGTTTGAGGCCTTAGGTTTAGAGGTTGAAGAGGGGATTCTCGAGCTTCTTTCGCACATCACAAATAGGGGTTTAGGGTTTCGGGTTTAGGGTTCAGGGGTGTTGGGTTCGGACATTTGGGGAGCTTTTGCGGCTCCTTTTGAGTGTTTTTGTTTGGGTGCTTTCAGGGGATCTTCGGGGTTTCCAGCATCCGCCCTCAAGCCTAGTGAAACCTCAACTCCCGCCAAAGCCAAAACCTTAAACCCTGAACCCTGAACCCTCAACCCTCAACCCTCAACCTTAAACCCAAAACCCTAAACCCTAAACCCCTAAACCCTAAACCCCAAACCCCAAACCCAACCACCCTTCCCAGGAGAGGAGCTGGAGACGGCGACGCGTCGGGGGAAGTACGCCATCATCGCCTCCTGTAGCGAGGCACACTTCCAGGACCCGCGGGCACAGGGCCTGAGGGTTTAGGGTTTAGGGTTTAGGGTAAAGGGTAAAGGGTTTGGGTTTAGGATGTCCTGCTTCCCGAAGCATGCATGAAGTTGGGAGTAGACTGCCAGGGGCTTGCAACGTTCTAGAGGCCAGAACCAGTTGCAGGGTTTGGAACCTCCCCCACAAGCCCAAAACACTAAGCCCCAAACCCCAAACCCTAAACCCAAAGAACCAACCCCTAGGCCCTACACTTTAAACCCTAAATCCTAAGCCCCAAGCCCTAAGCCCTAAACCCTAAAGTTTAAACCCTAAGCCCTAAGCCCCAAACCCTAAAACCCAAGCCCTAAACCCCAAACCCTAAACCCTAAACCCTCCCCCCCCACCCCAAAGCAGCCCCAGGAAGCCGAGAAAGCCATCCGCAAGCACAACACGGATCGACCCCCCGGTCATGGCCTAGCCACAGACTCGGAGTCCTTTCGGGCCTAGGGTTTAGGATTAGGGGTTGAGGATTTGGGGTTTGGGGTTTAGGGTTTGAGGGGGGAGTTCGTGTAGGTGAAGGCAGGTTGTGCAGTAGGACAGAAGTTTCGCATGGCGGCATGTCTGTTGCTGGTAATTACGTTTAGAACTAGTTGAAGCTTCATATGCAGTAACTTACTTGACATGCAATCAAACCAGGTGGTTAAAACTAGCTACTTAGCTCTTGTTCTCAGTCCGGAGGCGAATGGAACACTGAGTTCATGTGCATGAACGCAGTTGATGAAACCTGGCTTCAAGGACTTAAACGAGCGTAGCGAAGGTGGTGCCAGATTGGCCTTGAGTAGCGACCTCAAGTAGCTCAAGAGCCGGAGAACCTCTGGACCCGAAAGAGAGCTGGCGGAGCTTTTTCCTCATACCGTAGGCTTGCCAGAAGAAGTCCCGGCAGCTGAGACAGATGACGGTCATGAAGCCAGCAAGGCGTATAAATTTCCCTTGGGTTCTTCGTAGGGAATGAAGGAATTCGGTACCTTCTATCCCCCGAAATCTACCCTTTCAAGGATGACTTCCTTACATCCTATACATACCCTTTACAGGATGACGTAGGCCTTCCTTATATCCTATACTATACATACCCTTTAAAGGATTACATAGGCCTTCCTTACATCCTATACATACCCTTTAAAGGATTACATAGGGCACCTCCTTCCCCCCAACCCCTACGAAGAGCCAGCTCAGCCGGGCCGACTTTGGGATGCTCCCCGTTATACGAAGCAGTCCTTCACAGGGATGAGTGGTATCCCCCTAAGTAGAATCTCTTTTGGGAACTTTTATAAGGGGACGAGTAGTACCCTCTAAGTAGAATCTCTTTTGGGAACTTTTAACTGTACAAGCAGTCCTTAAGAGGGGATTAGTAGTACCCCCGAAGTAGAATCTCTTTTGGGAACTCCTAAGGGTATAAGCAGTCCTTAAGAGGGATTGATCGTCCCCCCCCCCCAAGTAGAATCCCGTTTAAGGGCCCGTTCGTAGAAAGGGGAACATCCCAACCTGCATCCTATAAACCCGAAGCCCTCTAACCCTGAAGCCCTGAGTCCGCCCTAAACCCTACACCCTAAACCCTACACCCTACACCCTAAACCCTAAACCCTAAACCCTAAACCCTACACCCTAAACCCTAAACCCTAAACCCTAAACCCTAAACCCTAAACCCTAAACCCGAAACCCTATAAACCCTAAGCCCTAAACTTCCCTAAGCCCTAAACCTTACAGTCAAGAGGCCAAAAGGGCCTGGGCCACGGCTTGGGACGTCTACGGCGGCTCTGCGTCGCACCCTGCACCTTCTGTGCACTTGTGAGGGTGTAGGGTTTAGGGTTTAGGGCTTAGGGTTTAGGGTTTAGGGTTTAGGTGCTCTTGAAGAGCAGTTTTGTTTCGGCTTCCTTCAACCAGAGGCTCCCCAAATCCTGGGTTTCGGGTTTCGGGTTTCGGGTTTCGGGTGCAAAGTTTGAATGGGGGCCTTTAAAGACCGGACTCTATGCAACAGCATCCCACAGCCCGCAGAAACCCGGAACCCGGCTCTGTTAGGGAAAAAGATCGGACATCTTGAAGCTACAAATGGGGTATAGGATCGGTATCGAAGCCCCCCCCCCCCCAAAGTGGCAACCCCAAACCCCAAAAGCCCTAAACCTCCTAAACCCTAAACCCCCAAGCCCTAAACCCCAAACCTCAAACCCTAAACCCTAAACCCTAAACCCCAAACTTCCCTGAACGTCCCTAAAGAGCCGGCGAGGCTGAGCCTAGTCCTGCGCCTCTGCCCCCATCGCCGGTTTGGCCGCAGCGGCCATCGATAGGGCGCCTTGGATTCAGACGCCAGGTTTTAGGGCTTTGAGCTTTTAATATTATTGTTATTGTTATTATTATTACTATTACTATTACTATTACTATTACTATTACTATTACTATTACGATTACTATTACTATTACTATTACTATTACTATTACTATTACTATTACTATTATTACTACTATTATACTGTTCTTGTTATTGTTACTATTATTATTACTATGATGATAATTACTATTATGATTATGATTATGATTCTGATTCTGATTATGATTATGATTATGATTATTATTATGATGATGATGATGATTATGATTATGACTATGATTTATATTACTACTATTTTTTTGAAGGTTTTGGAGTTTGAGCTTTCTCTTTTTTTCGGGTTTTTGGGGTTTTTGGGTTAAGGCGTTAGGGTTTGGGGCTGCAGGTTAAGGGTTAGGGTTTTTGGGGTTCTAGGGTTTAGGGTTTAGGGTTTTGGGGTTTTGGGGTTTTGGGGTTTTGGGGTTTTGTGGGTTTTAGGGGTTGCTTCTCTTAACCAGGACCTGATTTAAGGGACTGAACCCTCAACCCTCAACCAAACCCCAAACCTGAACCCTGAGACTTCAACCCTAAGCCCTAAGCCCTAAGCCCTTAACCCTAATCCCTAAACCCTAAACCCTAAGCCCCAAGCCCTTGAAGGAGTCCCGGAAGCCGACCGCTTAGGAAGCTGTTGGCTTCGTGAAGCAAAGAGGACACAAGGTTCACTGGAGCCCTAATTTCTAAACCCTAAACTATAAACTGTTTAGGGTTTAGGGTTTAGGGTTTGGGGTTTAGGGTTTAGTGTTTAGGTTTAGGGCTTAGGGTCCTAACCCGAAAAATCCACAACCCTAAGCCCTAAACCCGAACCTGCGAGCCCACATCTTTGGGTCTAGGCCTTGGGTGGCGCGTTTAGGGGTTCTAGGTGCTGCTAGGCTTGTAAGGCTGCTCTTCGGTTCTTTGAAGGTGCTCTTACTATTATTACTATTATCATGACTATGATTATTATTATTATTTTTACTATTATTACTATTATTACTATTATTACTATTATTACTATTATTACTATTATTACTATTATTACTATTATTACTATTATTACTATTATTACTATTATTATTATTATTATTATTATTATTATTACCATTATGATTATTATTATTACTACTATTATTACTATTATTACTATTATTACTATTGTTACTATTATTACTATTATTACGATTATTACTATTACTACTACTATTATTATTATTACCATTATTACTATTATTACGATTATTACTATTATTACTATTATTACCATTATGTGCTCAGAATTCCCCTTCTTTGTTCCTTCAGCCCGCCGCCCGGAGGTCGACCAGCTCCTACAGGGAGCGGGTCTCGCGGATGCGCAGCAGCGCGCTCTGAGCCAAGGGCGGGGAAACCCGCGAGCCGAGACGCCGCGCAGTTTGAAGTTGCTTGGAGGTTCATGGAACTTACTAACCAACTATAGCTGTACTTATAACCCTACTTATAAATACCCCTAAAGGGCCTTATAGGGGTTATCCCACTTATAAGTTAAGTACAGTTATAATTGGTTAGTAAGTACCATGAACCTTCAAGTGTGGACCTTCAGGGTTCGAGGTTTAAGGGCGGGTTTGATGGGTTTGAGATTTGGGAGACTCCCCCTTCTACTCACAGTCCTTTATGGGGATTGCAGTGCCCCCCCCTATTAGAATCCCTAGCCAGGAGTGTTGGTACAAGGAGCAACATCCCGAGGTGTATAGAGTTTTGGGTTCAGGGTTTAGGGCCGAGTCCCGAGCCACAGGCATGTACAGCTTGCGCAGTTTCAGGCAGCTATGGTGGTCGGCGCATGGCATCTGCAACAGTCGCACTCTCCTGCACTGAGACCTGGTAGTAGAGTAAGCCCCTAGCCCTCGGAATCCTACTGAATCTTCTGCCCGACATGCTGGCTTTGCTGAAGCTGCGTGCCCATGGTGTCATTTTCTCGTGACCGGTAGGCACGCGTGGTGCATCCACGTTGCATGACGCGCTTGTGGGCCACGAGCTGCGCGCTAACGCGCCTTGCAGTTCGTGCAAGCCCAGTTGGGATGCTGTTCTGCTTCCCAGCCTTGTACGCACATGTCTTTGTGCAAAAAGTCTGCGGCCGTCCAGATTCCAGATGTGGGATCAGAGCCCAATTGACTCTGCTCTCTCTATCTCTTGTGTTTTTTTTTCTCGCTCTCTCTCTCTCTCTCTCCCTCTCTGTTTTTTTTTTTTTTTTTTCTCTCTCTCTCTTTCTTTTTCAGGTTTGCTCTGAACAAAAATGGCCCCTTGTGTTCACCTCATTCAGCAAGTTTGGATCAAACCGCGCTGACCCGAAAGCCTCTCTGCTTGGTGTGGCGCCTGCACCTCAGAGTTCATTGCGTTTGAGGCAAAGTTTGAGGGTTTACAGTAGAGGTAGTGAGGTTAGAGTAGGTTACAGCTGCAGCCACCTTGCCGACCCCGAACCCTAAACCCTAAACCCCAAACCCCAAACCCTAAACCCTAGACCCTAGACCCTAAACCCTCAACCCTCAACCCTAAACCCTAAACCCCAAACCCCAAACCCTAAACCCTAGACCCTAAACCCTCAACCCTAAACCCTAAACCCCAAACCCCAAACCCTAAACCCTAGACCCTAAACCCTCAACCCTCAACCCTAAACCCTAAACCCTAAACCCCAAACCCCAAACCCTAAACCCTAGACCCTAAACCCTAAACCCTCAACCCTAAACCCTAAACCCTAAACCCCAAACCCCAAACCCTAAACCCTAAATCCTAAACCCCCAAACCCGGCTCTGCACAGCGCGCCGGCCACGGCTCAGGCACATGGGCTCGGGTGCTTCGCTATCAGAACAGATTCAAAATGCCTCTCAGGACGCAGGGGGCCTTTTTAGGTTGTTTTTAGGCTTTCTTGGGTTGTTATGGTTTTTAAGGTTTTTGCGGTTTTTAGGTTAATCGGAACAGATTCAAAATGCCTCTCAGGACGCAGGGGTTTTAGGGTGTAGGGTGGGTTTTTTCTCAGCGTTCTTAGGGTCTTTGTAGGTTTTCTTTTGGGTTTATCAGAGCAGATTCAAAATGCCTCTCAGGACGCAGGGGTTTTAGGGTGTAGGGTGGGTTTTTCTCAGCGTTCTTAGGGTCTTTGTAGGTTTTTTCTGGGTTCATCAGAGCAGATTCAAAATGCCTCTCAGGACGCCGGGGGGCCTTTTTAGTTTTTTTTTTTCAAGGATTTTAGGCTTCTTTGGGTTTATCGGAACAGACTCAAAATGCCTCTCAGGACGCAGGGGTGTTTAGGGTTTTTGAGTTTGTTTTTGTTTTTCAGTGGGCTTTTAGAGCTTTTAGGGTGTAGGGTTTAAAAGTTTAGGGTTGATCTGGTTTAGGGCTAAGGGTTCATGTGGTTTAGGGTCCAGGGGTTTTCGGGGTTCAGGGTTTAGGGCTTTTGGGCCCGAGCCCTTCTACTCCCCGACTCCGCATTGGAAGAGGAACCTCCCCGCAGCTTCGTAGCTGAGTGAGTACACTTTACTCTTTTTGGGGATAGTATAGTCACCTACCGAACTGAAAGTGTACACTTTTTTGGGGCTTAGGAGCTCAGCAACTAATAAAGACAGAGACGTTTATGAAGAGAATTGCCCATCGGGGCCAGCAGAACAACCTGCTTCCGCTCTGTCTAACGTTAGAGCGCCTATCAGCACATGTCGAACGTCAAAAACTTTCGCACCAACATGGGCGTCCGAGCTGTGAACCCTAAACAATAAACCCTAAAACCTAAACCCTAAACCCTAAACCCTACACCCCACACCCTAAACGGTAAACCCCAAACCCCAAACCCCAAACCCCAAACCCCAAACCCTAAACCCTAAACCCTAAACCCTAAACCCTAAACCCTAAACCCTAAACCCTAAACCCTAAACCCTAAACCCTAAACCCTAAACCCTAAACCCTTACGGCCAGGAGCAGCTCCAGGAGGCCTTGGATACCATGCCCGATGAGGCGCACCATCTTCCAGCTGACTTACCTGTAGGGTTTGGGGTTAGGGTTTAGGGTTTGGGGTTTAGGGTTTAGGGTTTAGGGTTTGGGGTTTAGGGTTTAGGGTTTAGGGTTTAGTGTCTAGGGTTTAGGGATGCCTGTGATTAAAATATATTGCAAAGGGATATATTCGCATGAGGGCACAGGGAGTTTAGTATCGCGGCGTGGGTTCATCATAGGACCCCATCCGGTTCCTGACCACCCCGACCTTGGACCCCTTTCTGAGTATAGCCGCCTCGCAAAGCAGCTAAGAGATCCCCAAATCGATTTCAGAATTCAGGGTTTAGCCCTAAACCCTAAACCCCTAGCCCCTAAACCCTAAACCTAAAACCCTAAACCCTAAACCCTAAACCCTAAACCCTAAACCCTAAACCCTCAACCCTAAACCCTAAACCCTAAACCCTAAACCCTAAACCCTAAACCCTAAACCACGATGCCTGCTGCTAGCTGTTTTGCCAGGTAAAAGAGAAGCTCAAGTCTCAGCTGTCACCTGAGGATCAAGCCAAGGCGCACGGAGGATTCGGGGTTGGGTGTACAAGGCTTAGGGGAGTTTAGGGTTTAGGGTTTAGGGTTTAGGGTTTAGGGGGTTTACATTTCAGGGGTTTGTCGGGGTTTATCGTTGCTCATTCTTACCCGCCGAGGCTTGATCTCTTCTCCAATCAAAACGCTGTACGTCCTGGATTTTGTCTTGTGGCACGGTGCAGAAAACATGTAGCATAAGAGGGGATAGCCCAAGATTCAGGGTCGACCAATGGGGTTTACAACAGTCAAGGTTGACCCTGAACCTTAAGCCTTACACCCTAATCGCTAAAGTAAAGCTGAAACCCTAAGCCCTAACCCTAAAACCCTAAAGCCCTAACCCCTAAAGCCTAACCCTAGACTGATACATCCAGTACCGACGTGCCGTTGGCTTCTTGATCCTGAACCACAATAATTGTACCCTGTGAGATACCTTTTCCATTCCCCCCCCCCCCCCCCCGGCCACCGTCCCTTCCCCGCCCAACAAAAAAGAACAAAAGCCCTAAACCCTAAACCCTAAAACCCTAAAACCCTAAACCCTACACCCTAAACCCTACACCCTACCCCCTACACCCTAAACCCAAACTCTAAACCCTAAACCCTAAACCTGAACCCTACAACCCTACAACCCTAATGCCCTAGACCCTGCGCAGGTCGAGGCTCTGAAGTGCCTAGCGCGCGAGAACCTTCTAAGAGCCGCGGCGGATGGCAGCTTGGAGCGAGCGCTGCAAGAGATAAAGGACTTGGGGCTTTAGGGTTTAGGGTTTAGGGTTTAGGGGGTTGGGGGGTTAGGGTTCAACGTGTTAGGGTTTAGGGGGTTGGGGGGTTAGGGTTCAGCGGGCTAGGGTTGAGGGTTTAGGGTTAAGGTTGTAGGGTGTAGGGTGTTGGGTGAGGGTTTAGGGGGGTAGGTTTGAGGGTTTAAGGGTTGTGGGGGTGGTTTAAAGTTCAGTGTTTCGGGTTGAAGGTCAGGGTTGCGAGTTTAGGGCGCGGACTAGGGAACCGAATACCTCACAATTTAAGGAACCATTCCTTGATTTTTGCAAGAGGGGTCCTGCAACATGTTTTGAGGAAGATTCCTTCGTCATGCCTGCGTGCACATCAGCATTGTTTGACCTGTGTGGCCGACAGCCGTCATTGTCGCTGAAAGCTGTTGCCAAAGGACCCTAAACCCTAAACCCTAAACCCTAAACCCTAAACCCTAAACCCTAAACCCTAAACCCTAAACCCTAAACCCTAAACCCTAAACCCTAAACCCTAAACCCTAAGCCCTAAAATCCCTACTCCCTAAACCCTAAACCCTAAACCCTAAACCCTAAACCCTAAACCCTAAACCCTAAACCCTAAACCCTAAACCCTAAACCCTAAGCCCTACACCGCAATCAGGAGAAGCATAGCCAACAGCCGCCACCACCACCGCCACCGTGAACGGAAGCCTGGCTTTGAAGGCCCAAAGAGTGTTTTTCTGGCGGGTTTAGGGTTTAGGGTTTAGGGTTTAGGGTTTAGGGTTTAGGGTTTAGGGTTTCTTGGTGGTCTTTCTTGCAGGTAGCTCTCAACCCTAAACTCTAAACCCTAAACCCTAAACACTACACCAACCCAAAGCCCTAAACCCCAAACCTTAACCCCTGAACCCGAACTCTAAACCCTAGTTGTAAGTCTCACTAGGCTGACCTGCCTGCGTCACGCTCCGCTTCCTCCGCTTCATGACTGCAACAATTCGCAAGAGGCTGACCTTGCCCCTAAACCCTAAACCCTAAACCCTAAACCCTAAACCCTAAACCCTAAACCCTAAACCCTAAACCCTAAACCCTAAACCCTAAACCCTAAACCCTAAACCCTAAACCCCAAACCCCAAACCCTAAACCCTAAACCCTAAACCCTAAACCCTAACCCTAAACCCTAAACCCTAAACCCTAAACCCTAAACCCTAAGCCCTAAACCCTAAATCCTAAACCCTAAGCCCTAAACCCTAAACCCTAAACCTGAACCCTGAACCCTGAACCCTTGCATCCCTGTCTTCGGCCTCGATCGAAGTCTCACTGAGCCAATGGGCTCCCAAGGCCACGATGTTGTGGTAGCCCAGTGGTTTAGGGTTTAGGGTTTAGGGTCCCCGGATAAAGTACCCAACCAAAGAAGGGATACCCTTCTTATGACATGGTTACTGGGCTACTCAGATGTGCAAAAGACGTGCAATGCCTACTTAACGACTCGAAAAAGGGTCGCTCAGTGGAGGTGCAGAGGGGCCCGAAAGTGTCAAGGGACGAAGGCTTGCACCCCTAAGATTGTACCCGTACCAGTTCCCCTCAATGTACTCCTTAATATGGCCCTAATGCTACCTTAAAGATCTTTTAACGCCCCCCCCCCCCCCAAACCCGAAGGACCACCCCGAGAAAGTCCAAGTCCGCTGCTGCTGCGATGTTCCGTACACCACGCAGATGGTGGTTGAAAGATCTACGGTCGGGCCATATACCCTAAACCCTAAATCCTAAACCCCAAACCCCAACCTAAACCTAAACCCTAAAACCCTACTTCATATCAAGGGACCATGAAACTAGCAAGAATGACGTGCCAGGGAGCTTCCAGTTCCCTGCCCATGACTTGCTTCATGGTTGGAGTTAGGGTTTTTCGGGTTTAGGGATTTAGGTTTAGGGGTTTCGGGCTCAGGGTTTAAGGATTTGAGGGTTCAGGCGCCGTGTGTAAATTGCTGGTGCTGCCCAAGCCCAGATCTTTTTGCAGACAACGTATCATCAGCCTAGGTTACTTGGTCACCACAAAGCCCTAAGCCCTAAGCCTAAGCCCTAAGCCCTAAGCCCTAAGCCTAAGCCCTAAGCCCTAAGCCCTAAACCCGAAACCCCACAATAGGGACCTGTGGGGGTCCCCATTTTCGAGGTTAGAATATGCACCTCATCCGCATTACGGCCGTGAGGGCGTAGCTCCCAGCAATGGGAGACCAATCTCAGGCCCCTGTCCGTATTAAGGTTTTTGGTTTCGGAGTTCAGGGATTTTAGGGAGTTTGGAGTCTGGGGAGGTTAGGGCGTTTAGGGAATTCGGGGAGTTGGGGAGTTTAGGGAGTTCAAGGAGTTTAGGGAGTTTACGGAGTTTTGGGAGCCCACTCATGATGCCGCACCCAAACCCGAGCCCCAAGATGGCTTGCCGAACCCTGAACCCTTCAGCCCTGCGCCCTAAGAAAACTCTTCAACCCTAAACCCTAAACCCTAAACCCCTAAACCCAAAAACCCAAACCCTAAACCTAAACCCTAACCCTAAACCTAACCCAAACCCCAAACCCCAAACCCTAAACCCTAAACCATAAACCCTAAACCCTAAACCCTAAACCCTAAACCCTAAACCCCAAACCCTAAACCTAAACCCAAACACTAAGGGGATGAGCGACGAGACCTGGATGCCTGTCGGGGGCCTCAGCTCCAACGTCAGCTGCGGACCAGAACCTCAGGTGTTTATCGGTTTCGGGTTTAGGGGTTTAGGGGCTAGGGTTTAGGGTTTAGGGTTTAGGGGTTTAGGGTTTAGGGTTTAGGGTTTAGGGTTTAGGGTTTAGGTTTTGTTTAGGGTTTAGGGTTTAGGGTTTAGGGTTTAGGGTTTAGGGTTTTTAGGGTTTAGGGTTTAGGGTTTAGGGTTTAGGGTTTAGGGTTTAGGGTTTAGGGTTTAGGGTTTAGGGTTTAGGGTTTAGGGTTTAGGGTTCGGGTTTAGGTGTTTAGGGTTTAGGGTTTCGGGTTTCGGGTTTAGGGGTTTAGGGTTTAGGGTTTAGGGTTTAGGGTTTAGGGTTTAGGGTTTAGGGTTAGGGTTGAGGGTTTAGGGGTTATAGGGTTTAGGGTTTAGGGTTTAGGGCTATGGCGTCCAGGGTTATAGGGTTTAGGGTTTAGGGTTATGGGGTTTAGGGGTATAGGATCAAGAGTTTGGGTTTCCGGGTTTAGGCTTCCAGGGGCTTGATTCGAGTGAAATCAAACCTTTCCGGCCATCCAGCATGCTGGCAAGCTTAAGCGAATCCTCAGGTCAACTCGAACTCAGTACCTGCAAACCCCCCAAAAGTATCGCAAATGAGACATCCCCCCTATGGTTGTTTCCAAAATTTTACACTCCATAGAGAATAGAATCCCCTTACCCCTATTTTCGGAAACTCCCCTATAGCCACCCAAATTAGTATGTCTTTGGGCATCGGGAAGGGGTCCCCATATTGGAGACCTTCCCAACATGCACTACGGCCGTTAGGGCGTTCCGAGTTGCCGGACATTGTAGTGCCCCTTATACCCCCAAATGCTATAGTCTGCCCTGATTATGATATAATACAGGATCCCCCCCCCAAACCCTAAACCCTAAACCCTAAACCCTAAACCCTAAACCCTAAACCCTAAACCCTAAACCCTAAACCCTAAACCCTAAACCCTAAACCCTAAACCCTAAACCCTAAACCCTAAACCCTAAACCGAAGAAAGAAAAAAACAACAAAACAAGAGGCACCCCCCAACCCACCGCTAAATTCTACACCCTAAACCCTAAACCCTAAACCCTAAACCCTAAACCCTAAACCCTAAACCCTAAACCCTAAACCCTAAACCCTAAACCCTAAACCCTAAACCCTAAACCCTAAACCCTAAACCCTAAACCCTAAACCCTAAACCCTAAACCCCATCTCATGGGAACTTGTTTTCCCTTGCGTGCCTGCAGCTCAGGCTCCGGGTGGTGGCAGCCGATGGCATGGGGACCAAGCAAAGGGTTTAGGGTTTAGGGTTTAGGGTTTAGGGTTTAGGGAAGGGTTTCAAGACTCCCCTGTGTTCATCGCCGAAGGGTGGCCTGACGACCCTTGCTTGAAGGTTCATGGTACCTACTAACCAAACATTACATGCACTTACAACCCAATTAGAACCATATTAGGGTAACTAAGGGGCATATAAGTAGAATCCAGTCATCATTGGCTATCAAGTACCATGAATCTCCAAGTAAGCCACCCTGGGCGAGTTGCAGTGTTGGCCGCGTCGAAGAGTGGTGCCTGCGTGCACTGGTGTTAGGGTTTAGGGTTTAGGGTTTAGGGTTTAGGGTCACTTGTGTTTATTTCTTCGCGCAGCCGCGAAGCCTCAAACAGCTTTGTTGTCAACCTCTCTACAATGGCACGTGTGAAGTCATGGACCATTGAGGATGTTTCCGGGTGGCTGGTGCAGAGCGGGTTTGAGAAGCTCGTGGATGACTTCCGCGATCAGGGAGTGGATGGTGAAGTTTTGCTTACTCTAACGTGCCTTGGACAGCAATCATCGCCTTGGACAGCAGTTCTCAACAGAATCTTGAAACCCTTAACCCTTAACCCTAAACCCTAAACCCTTAATGGCTCAGGCTTGAAGAGCTCAAGGAAGAGTTCCAGATGAAGTTGGGGGACCGCAAGAAAATGATCGAGCGAATTGAGAATTTGAAGGCCCGAGGATATCCGATCCAGTAAGCTGCACATGCAGTGGGGGCCATTCCTCGGTCTCCTGTGTTGCGAGGTTTCATCGTCGAGTTCCACTGAGGTAGACAGTCGCTTGGATGGCAAAAGTGACAGATGTTCACTACTGCGTCCGACTGCCTCCGACTGCGTGCTGCTTTAGATTCACTCGGTGCTGGTACTCTCATCGTCAATGTTAAAGTTCTCACCCATACTGGAAGCACGGCCATCGAGCAACATCATTCTGCTGACTTGGGGGTATCGTGTGCGGTGTTCGTGACGGAGTGTGTTTGCTTTCAGCAGCTTCTTGTTAGGTGGCCCGCCCAGTGCTGAGATGAGCAGGCACCCTGATGACTGTCGAAAGTGACAGCGCGTAGTGGCAGTACGACGCCTAAGTGCCGGCTTTGGCCAGGTCTGGGACGCCCAGCACGGAGATCGAGAAGTTCTACTTGCTAGACGGCCGCAACATTGCGTGCCAAGGAGGCTGCTGCGGGGTTTTAGGGTTTGGAGTTTCGGGTCTCTTGACAGTTCAAAAGCTCCTTCCAAGGCCCAACCCAATTCAGAACAGCGACCCAAGAGCTGAGACCGTCGTTGAAGTGCGCGCCCCAAGCCCCAAACCTCAAACCTCAAACCCCAAACTCCAAACGCTAAACCCTAGACCCTACGCCCTAAACCCTAAACCCTCAACCCTCAACCCTCAACCCTCAACCCTCACTCCTAAACCCTAAACCCCAGGGCTTGGACCTTAACCCCAGTCTTCAGGCGAGAGCTTCGACAAGCCCAACTTGAAGAAGCTGATGAAGGCTTCTAGGATGCCCAGTAGTGCCCTTATTCCCTTTTTTGGGGTTTGGGGTTTAGGGTTTAGGGTTTAGGGCTAGGGTTTCGGGTTTGGGGGCCTTAGGTCGCCTCATAAACCCCTTGTTACGCAGAAAAGGGCACCCTTCTCGTATTTCTTGGATCATAAACCCCTTTTTACCCAGAAAAGGGCACCCTTTTCGTATTTCAGATTTCTGGGCTACTCAGGCTCTGAGTTGGCACATGGCACATCGCCCGGACTGGAAGGTCCTGACGTTTGTCTACGAGGCCAGGGTTTAGGGTTTAGGGTTTAGGGTTTAGGGTTTAGGGTTTAGGGTTTAGGGTTTAGGGTTTAGGGTTTAGGGTTTGGGGCTTAGGGTTTAGGGCTTAGGGTTCAAGGTTAGGGCTTAGGGTTTAGGGCTTAGGGTTCAGGGTTAGGGTTTAGAGGTTTCCATGTTCAGCCAGCGCACGGTAGGCTTTTTGGGACGCTGTGTCAGTTGCAAACCTGCAGCTCAAGATGTAGACTCCGATGGCAGACTTTTTTGAAGCCTGGGGACCCGCGAGGCCCTCATGGATCAATGGAATGATGAGTATCCGAAACTCGGTCGGATTACAAGGGTTTAGGGTTTAGGGTTTAGGGCTACTAGGTAGGCCCTTGGGACATTTTATATGTTCCCTTTTGGGTTTAAAAGAGGCTCATATTTAGGAATCTTGTTAGGGGGGGGGGGGGGGTTTTGGGCCATCCTAGGACACAAGCCAGGGACTTGGCTCAGACAATCACCAAGACACCGCGACGCGAAGACGTCGACAAGTTCATCATTCGGATGGCTGCAGATGCAACGAAGCTGGGTCATTGTTGAGAATTATTTTACATCTTTACATCCTTATGAATACTTAAAACCAGTAAGGAACAAAAAGGATCATGTTTAATAGTACTTATATTAACAATCTACAGAATTAATAACATTACTAGCATCAAGAATTATAGTAGTGATAGCACCCCAAGAATGGTGCAGGAAGCGCGGCTGCCTGGTGAAGATTGTCTCCAATGACAACTTTCGGGAGTACATCGGCGAGGTGGAGGACTTCCACTTCTCGGAAGACTGGGTCCGAGAACACGTACGGGGCCCTTGTTGTTTCGGGGGTAAAAAGGAGGGACCCCTAGAAAGGGACACTTCGTCTTATTCCCTTATATAACCTTCATATATATATATACATATATACCTTATATAGTCCCTATATACCTAACTAGCCCATAGATATTCCCTCAAGAACCCCCCCAAGGTCCCTTATAAGGGTTCCTCCTTTCGTCCCTTGAGTTGTGACATCGTGTGAGAGTTTGGGTGTGAATCTGCCCTACAAGAGACTGTCAACGCGACGAGTCGATGAGGTTGTCAAATTTTGCTTCACTGCGGGTTCCGAAGCTTGGTGGCCTTAGTGGTGCCCTTTACCCCTTTTTTTGGGTTCCGGGCTCCCTTATAAAGTACCCAATAAAAAAGGGGTGCCCTTATTGGAAACCCTAAACCCTAAACCCTAAGCCCTAAACCCGAAACCCTAACCCCGGAACCCGATACCCGAAACCCTAAGCCCGAAACCTATTATACCATGGTTACTAGGGCGACTAAGGAAGAGTTCATCCCTGCCGATGGAATTGGGGAAGGCTTTGCGTCAGATGTGGGAAGAGCTGCTGTGGAAATGCCAGAGGCAAGCGCCACGGAGAGGCCAGCTTCCCAGAAGTTTAGGGTTTAGGGTTTAGGGTTTAGGCTTTAGGGTTTAGGGTTTAGGGTTTAGGGTTTAGGGTTTAGGGCCCAAAACACTAGTGGCACTTGTGGTACGCAGTGGCGTCCTTGGGCGTTTTTTTGTGCCTTGGGGGTCTGTCGCAGGGTTGCTGAAGTCGATGCCGGCATGGTTGGGCTACCAGTTCTGCTTACCGGAAGGGGTGCGAAGAACCCATCTTCTATTCAGATTGCGACCGGAGTGGAGGAAGCTACTTGGTTTCTCTGAGATGACCTCTGTTCGTACTGCCGTTTGTGCTGCTTTTCTCATGACAAGTCCTTTGCAAAACGAAGCAAACTCACGCTGCAGCTTCAAGAGGCTCATGTCGCAGAGAGTTCGCGCTTTAGGGTCTAGGGTCTAGGGTCTAGGGTCTAGGGTTTAGGGTTTAGGGTTTAGGGTTTAGGGTTTAGGGTTTAGGGTTTAGGGTCTCTTCTCAGGTGCGATGCCCTCATCGCTTGTGCCCTCTGCGGCTGCAAGTCCAGGAGTCCAGGGGCCGCTTGGTGGCCTTAGTGGTGCCCTTTTTCCCTTTTTTTGGTTCAAGGTTCCCTTATGAGGGTTTAGGGTTTAGGGTTTAGGGTTTTTTGGGTTCAAGGTTCCCTTATACATTAACCAACCAAAAAGAGGGGTTAGGGTTTAGGGTTTGGGGTTTAGGGTTTAGGGTTTAGGGTTTAGGGTTTACAATATGGTTACTGGGGTACCAAGGCCTGTACACGATCCAAGTGACAGGCCTGGAAACGCCTGCGTCCAGAGCGAAGCGGCCGGTCCTCAGATTCAATCCCAGAAGCTTAGGGGCTCTTGGGAATGATTTTTAAAGTTTTGGTTACTGAGATTCCTAAACCCTAAACCCTAAACCCTAAACCCTAAACCCTAAACCCTAAACCCTCCACCCTAAACCCTAAACCCTAAACCCTAAACCCTAAACCCTAAACCCTTAACCTTTGCTAGAGTTCCAAGTTCAGCATAGGAAGGGCCATCAGAAGCTGGTGTCCGACGTGCGCGCGACCTTTGGAGCTGCGAAGCGAGGCTCCTTCAGGGTTTATGGTTTAGGGTTTAGGGTTTAGGGTTTAGGGTTTAGGGCTGCGAAGCCAGGCTCCTTCAGTGGCAGAGGAGGTGCGCCGGCGCCCGAAGGGCAAAGGCCAGGCTTTCGTGGCCGTGCTTTTTGGGCCGGATGAGGACACTTGGCAACCCTAAACCCTAACCCTAAACCCTAAACCCTAAACCCTAAACCCTTTTCTTTCCTTTCTTGGGAAAAGTGAAAGAGTGCGTGAAATGCAGTATAATGTTTCGGTTTCTCACCTGCGCTCATGAATTTTATTCGTGCACTGATGTAAGAATACCAACATAAAGGTGCAGAGCACATTACAGGGTCAATGAATGATGCCATAAGGACACGCATAAATATATTAATTTGCCCTGTGAGTGAACGCAACCAGCTATTTACTTTCATAATCTTATTAGCGTGCCAAGCAGACGTCTTTTGTTTCGTTCATATCGTTCATTATATTCCAGGCGCACTTCTTTAATGCAATTCCCTCACTCACTTGTTCACTTCGCTCACGAAATGCCCCGTCAAATACAGTAGTTTTACTGGGTCATTGCGCTCACTCTGTTCACTTGGTATATTAATAGAGGGGGTGCCCTGATTATCAGGATGGTTTCTAGGCTACCAAGGACATGCTTCAACGATTCGTTCTGGGAGCCCTTGTTCTCGGTCACTCCTTGCGGGCGAGCGGTACCAGCTTTGATTTGGTCCTCCTGCACACCGCAGACGTCATGGCTGTGCCTGGAGCTGGACTCTGGGTCACTGTTGTTGGGTTTAGAGTTTAGCGTTTAGGGTTTCGGGTTTAGGTTTGGGGTTTAGGGTTTAGGGTTTAGGGTTTAGGGTTTAGGGTTTAGGGTTTAGGGTTTAGGGTTTAGGGTTTAGGGTTTAGGGTTTAGGGTTTAGGGTTTAGGGTTTAGGGTACCCCAACAATGGTGCAGGACTTCTGGAAGTCTTCTGGAAGACGCGCGAGGTGGAATATGTGCAGGCTGTGAAGAAGCTCATCGCTCGAAGCGAGGATCGCTTCCGGCATGTCTTCACCAAGCTGCATGTGTTCGGCTGCGACGACTACGAGAAGGTGGTCTTGCTCGATATCGATCTCCTGGTGAGGGACAATGTGGACGAGCTGGGCCACTTAAAGCCACCCTGTGCATTGAGAAGGGGACACAAGAGCCTTCCCTCGCACGTGGACGTCGCCCTGTCGTGCTACGACCGCCATGGGCAGCAGCGCTTCGGCATGAATCTGGGCGTCGCCATACTGAAGCCTTGCCAGGAAGAGCTGAGGAAGATGTTGGATTCGGTGAAGCGCATGGATCCCATGCATGAAGCCAGCAATGGTCCCGAGCAAGACTTTCTGAGTCGCTGGTTCAAGGATTGGAAGACCCTGAGCCTGAAGTACAACTATCAGCTCCACCAGCTGGCATCTGGGCCATTGTTGGAAGATCATGTTGCACCTTTTATGAGTACTTGAAACCCAACAAGGAGCCAACAATGATCATTGTTAATAGCCCTAAACCCTACACCCCAAGCCCTAAACCCTAAACCCTAAACCCCAAACCCTAAACCCCAAACCCTAAACCCTAAACATGGTGGTGCAGGCATACTCTCTGGACCATGAAGGCCCAGACGCCGAGCGGCTGCAGCTGAAGTACGAGAACGTCAAGGTCATCCACTACAGCGGCAAGGTGGGAGTTTCCCTCAGCCCTAACCCGACACCCTAAGCCCTAAACCCTAAACCCTCAGCCCTAAAACCCTAAACCCTAAACCCTAAACCCTAAACCCTAAACCTTAAACCCTAAACCCTAAACCCTAAACCCTAAACCCTAAACCCTAACCCCTAAACTGCCAGGTGAAGCCTTGGGACTTCTTCTTTGATATTTGGTAGCCCAGTGGTACCCTTTTCCTTTTTTTTTTTTTGGGGGGGGGGTTCTGGGTTGCCTTAGCAAGTACCCAACCAAACAACTAAAATTTTAGGGTTTACGATAATAAGGAACCCCGGATTCCCTTTAGTAAGGTACCCCCCCACCCTCCGCCCCCCATATGGGTTACCCCCTAAACCCTAAACCCTAAACACTCAACCCTAAACCCTAAACCTCAGGAGCCTGGCTTGGAGCAGAGCTTCTCAGCCTTCTGTGAAGAGAAGCTGCTGCCTGCGTATGGTGCAGTTGGGGAGGACTTGGGCTCATATTCCTTGTATCCCCAAGAAGGACGCCAGTTCTGTACACTCACCAGTATTCAAGAGGAACCCTAAATGCGCACCAGTTATGTACACTCACCAATATCAAAAAGGAACCCTAAGTACACCCAGCAGTAGCAGTAATGTGAATTTTTGTTGGAGAGGACTTGAAGGAGAAGGTGAGACGAGCGGGGACAGAATGGAAAGCACAGTGCAAAGTCCGGTTCTCATCCGTTTTCTGGGCCTTTTGTGGCCGCTGGGTGCTTCAGGGTTTATTGTTTAGGGTTTAGGGTTTAAGGATATTAGGGTTTAGGTGGTTGAGGGTTTAGGGTTTCGGGCTTCAGCAACTCTGGCCGGAGGCACAAGCAGCGATCCGGTCGCGATCTTCTGCTGACAGAGTAGTATGCATTCCATGAAACCCTAAACCCTAAAGCCTAAACCCTAAACCCTAAACCCTAAACCCTAAACCTTAAACCCTAAACCCTAAACCCTGCACCCTAAACCCTAAACCCTAAACCCTACACCCTAAACCCTAAACCCGAAATCCCTAAACCCGAAACCGCGTCCACCTTCAGGCAGCCCTAAACCCGAAAAAGAACCTGCGAAGCCCCGAAACTGCAGGCGGACATCGGCGAGCCCTCAACCCCAAAAGGGCTGAGGGTTTAGGGTTTAGTGTTTACATAGGGCTTGGGGTATAGGGTTTAGGGTTTAGGGTTTAGGGTTTAGGGATTAGGGTTTAGGGCACACCCGAAAACATCCACCAGAATCTCCTGGATCGAACTATAGGGAGCACCTAGAAGACCCCACAAGAAGAGGAGACGGGTAGAGTTTCCAGGAGGCCTGGTTTAGGGTTTAGGGTTTGGGGTTTAGGGTTTAGGGTTTGGGGTTTAGGGTTTAGGGTTTAGGGTTTAGGGTTTGCCGAGGCCATGTGGCAGGGTGTGCTTGCGCCGCTCGGTGATGCTCACTGCCTCATGTGCGGGGAAGCGGTGCCGGAGGCCGCGCAGCTGGAGCACTGCTGCCTCCACTGTCCCGGCACCAGTGGCTAGGCAGGCCCTTTTGGGACATGCTTGCATTCTCCCTTACTGGGTTTAGGAGGAGCAAGATATTATAGAAACCCTAAATCCTAAACCCTAAACCCTAAACCCTAAACCCTAAACTCCAAACCCTAAACCCTAAACTGCAGGGCCAGCCTAGGTGATCTCAGGCAGGCAGTTGCTGGAGTGACCTGGGAGGAGATAAGGCACCCGGAGCCGCGAGAGTTTCCAGGCATCCTGGCATTTGTTGGCCGGGTTCTCGAGCGCCGCCGCTGGCTGGCTGCAGAGCCCGACCCCGAAACCGGGTCATTGTTGAAAATTATTTTACTACATTTTTGTTTTAGGGTTTAGGGTTTAGGGTTTAGGGTTTAGGGTTTAGGGTTTCGGGTTTAGGGTTTAGGGTTTAGGGTTTAGGGGTTATGAATACTTAAACCCCAGTAAGGAACAGACATGATGATTCTTTAAATAGTACCCCCAACAATGGTGCAAGAAACTGGGGGGTAGTTTAGGGAAGGGTGTTTCAAGTTCTGTGTTCCTCGATCCCCTCTTTCACCCCTGGAAAACAATTTGATTCCCCCCCCCCCCCCCCCCCCCTCCCCCCCCGCCCCCCAGGAAAGAAGAGGGCCCTCAGACCAAGACCAAGAAGCAGGGCATGTGGAGCCGAACGACCCCAGCATGGAACAGGATGCCGCGCAGATGCCTGAGAGGCAGCCTGAGGATCCCCCGACACGCTCCAGCCAAGCGAGCGCAGCTCCCCGCGCGCCCCCGCGATCTTATGAGAACTCGCCATTAGGGCGCTACCGGGACAAGATCTTGCAAGAAGTGGCGGCGAATCGAGTTACCATCCTCGTTGCCCCAACCGGATGCGGCAAAAGCACCAGAAGCTCTGATGATGTTGGGCGGTTTTAAAGGGTTTGGCGGGCGTGCAAGGGCTTGTGAGAGTTTAAGCCCCAAACCCTAACCCTACTTCCAGGTACTGATAAACCCATTTAGGAGTCTATTCATCACCTAGTTAGGAGACTTAGGGGGCTTCTGAATACAGTTTAAAGCTGGGGTCAAAAGTTCCCATGAACCTCCAAGTGTCTCAAAGGGACGCTGAGGGGATGGGAGTTTCAGGGATTGGGGTTTCAGGGTTTCGGGGTTTACGGCACTAAACCCCATAAGGTTCATAAGGCTCCGAAAGTGGCCATTAGGGTTTAGGGTTTAGGGATTTACTTTGTGTCACACTTCAAACCCGAGGAATCCCACAGATGATCTTGGACGAGGACCCGCTGAGCCAGTGGCCCTAAGACCCTGAGCCCAGGGCTTAGGGTTTAGGGTGCTCCAGTTTAGGATTTAGCCAACAGCAAAAGAGCGGCACTCATGGTTTACATTCTTGGAATTCCGATCATGGCGACCTCCCTGAGCTCCCTAGGACCCAGAGAGGTGTATCTTGGTGACGCAGCCGCGGCGCGTTGCGGCCACCAGCCTTGCTCGCCGGGTAGCTCACGAGCGAGCTGTTGCTGGGCCGCTCTTGAACATGTTTTTCAATCTTTTGTTTGCCGGTTTCCATTTTGTCTTTGAACAGTCGGGTTCCGAGAACAGTGAAGGTTGATCTTGGGACCGAGATCGGCTACAAGATTGGAGGCGGCATGTGCGGGATCCTTGCTTCGTCTCGCCAGCTGTGACGTGTAATGGTGCCTGATAACGTAGATATACCGTGGTTTCTGGTTTAGCGTTTATAGGGGTTTCCGGAGGGTATAAAAAGGGCCAATGTGGCAGCTCAGCATTCCTTGGTAGCCCAGTGGTACCCTTTACCTTTTTTTTTTGGTTCTGGGTTCCCTTATAAAGTAACAAACCAATAAAAGGGTGCCCTTATCATAATATGGTTGCTGGGTGTAGGATCTCCTCGCAGGTTGCAGCGAGGTGGGCCGGTCTGGCCGCACGCGGCTGATCTTTGCCACCACGGCCATTGCCATGATCCAATGTCTGCAAGACTGCTCCTCCTTCACGCATCTCATTATCGATGAGGTCCACATCAGATGCTAAGGCTGCAGCCGGCAGATTCTGCTCAAATTCTTGGGGGGTTTTGCTGCATGAAGTGCTTGGAGCATTTTCACACAACTAAAATGTGACCCATCAGGAGATGCTCACATCGACTTCCTGCTCAGTTTGGTGGTCACGCGGGTTTTGTCGCAGAACAAGCAGGTGAAGGTGGTCCTGATGTCTGCGGCCATGGACAGCAGCAAGATTGCCAAGTACTTCTCTGAGGTTCAAGGGGGCACTTGTCCGAGGCCGCTAGACTTGGAGGATTGCCGCCAGTTCAAGCTGTCCATCAAGTACATGGATGACTGTCCCTTCTTCAAGAGACGCGGACTCAGCCGCCGAGGAGCAGGTGGCCTTGTGTAGCTGAATCAGCACACTTTTTACTTCTTGGGGATGCAAAAAAGCCCCCCAAAAAGAAGAGAAAGTGTGCACCTTTGTTTGGGGCTTATGAACTCAGCAACTGAGAGTTCTAGTAGTATTCTCTTATGAAAGCCTGCACTTTTTTTTGGCTTAGGAACTCAGCAACTAAGAGTTCTAGTAGTTTCTCTTATGAAAGCCTACACTTTTTTTGGGGGCTTCTGTGAGCTCAGCAGCTAAGATGGAGCCTGGGCAGTGTCCGGGTTCCCGGCGGACTGGTCCCAGGAGGAAGTTTCGGACCTGTACGCGGACTCCTCGCAGTGGAGTAGGCAACCTTTTACTACCTTTTTTCGGGGTAGTAGAATCCCCTTATAAATCCCTAAAGGTTAGCCTTTAGTAGGTAACCTTTTACCTTTTTGAAAGGGGGTCATCGAATCCCCTTATAATCCCCAAGGGTTCACCTTTAGTAGGTGACCTTTTACCTTTTTGGGATCGTAGAATCCCCTTATAATCCCCAAAGGTTACCTAAACCCTAAACCCTAACCCTAAACCCTAAACCCTAATAAACCCTACAGTTCCTGGACAACTAAGGAATTTGTGCGCTCCTGCCATGAGGAACGAGCTGGCGCGGCCACCTTTTTGGTGTTCCTGCCGGGGAAGAGGGAGCTGATGCTCCTGTGGGAGCGGCTCGAAGAAGTGAGGGACCTGAAGGTGGGAAGTATATAAACCCTAAACCCTAAACCCTAAACCCTAAACCCTAAACCCTAAACCCTAAACCCTAAACCCTAAACCCTAAGCCCTAAGCCCTAAACCCTAAATTCTAAACCCTAAAACCTAAACCCTAAACCCTAAACCCTAAACCCTAAACAGGTGAAATGCATCTTTGGGGGACAGACGGTCGAGGAGCAGGAGCGGGTGCTGTCCGAAGCCAAGGGCCAGCAGGAGAGGGTTGTCACTCGGTAGGCCCTTGGGACATTTTGATGTTGTCCCTTACCGGGTTTAAGAGGATCATATGGGGGGGGGTCTACGAACATAAGGGACCCCCCCAATATACATCTGCAACTAGTAGGATCCGCTTATATTAAGGGCCCCCCCCCCCCCCCCCGTGGCACGGTAGAATACGTATAATGCAGCGCGCGCATACCTAGGTTTGAAGGGGTTCTGGCCGTGTCATGAACTGCTCCAGTGTGTGCCTTCGGGCTTAGGGGTTAGGGTTCAGGGTTTAGAGCACCCTGCGCACCCCATAATGAAACCAAGAGCAAGTCCGAACTTTTCTTGGACGTGGGCAGTCACATTGAAACTGTACACATCTCTTGCAGTGTCAATTGCACCTGCTAGGCCGAAGTTACTTGTGAACACGCTCCAACAAACCGCGGCACGGCCAAGCCGCGGTGTCCTGGTGTCCTGCCAAACATTTTTGCGCCCGACACCCAGCGATGCAGGATGCGTCCACTCCGACACCACGTCCCGCGAGACCTCCAGCACCACGCTTGCCGATATAGGCCTTAGCAGCATTTACTACAAGCTATATGCACAAGGAGCTTGACGGACCCAAGCGGACGCCATGCCATCAGGGGTTTGACAAGCCCAAGCGGAGGTCAAGTGCGAGAACAAGGCCGGACGGGCCGTGCATCATGGGCAAGCAAGGGGATGGCAGGGGTGCCCTCGGAGGCAGGACCGCAGCTTTCCGACGATTGGAATATAATCTCGTCGAGATGGCCTGAATCGATTATGAAAACATATGACAAAATTATGAAATTCAGATGTAGTTATTCTCAAAAATATAGGAAATATGAGAAACAATCAAAATAAAACAAATTATGAAAATACATAAAAATCTGCAAAATCTTGCCGACAAGTATTGCCCAAGGCATGAGCATGAATTGTAAAAGTGCATCTTTCGTTAATAGAATCATAATATTGGCTATCTTTTTCATATGTTCGACATATTTGTATCACATCTTTGTCACAAATACCCACATAAACAATAGAAAGTCTTGGCAAACCAGAGCCCAAATCATATTGAAATCATATCCTGCTTCTTGTATTTGAATAGAAACTGAGGCAACGCCCAGGCCAAGCAAAGTTGACCAATAAATGCTAACGTTCCCATATAAATCAATATTCAACAATTCCTGGGCTTAGAGGCTCTAAGAACCCTTAGAAGCCGAAGCTTCAAAATCATCAATCTTGGCTCAGCTCCAAAAGACGCCTTGCTAGAAGGTCGACGTCCGTGCTCATGCACAAAACCACTAGAAGCCTTGAGACTTCGTGAATGGGGGCACAGGGAAAACCACTTTTGGGAGAAAACCCTGTGCTCCACACTGCAGAAGTGCCGTCGTGCGCTGATTCTCACATGCCATCGTGCGCAGCACCCCGAAAGAACGACGTGTGATTCTCACACGGCCAACCTCGCGCAACAGATAGCCCGAGATACCCACAAAAAAGCACTGCTTGGCTTCACTGATTCGGCTTCCTCAACGAGGGAGCCTAAGCCAGTTGTATCTCACACTCACTGCATCATCCTGTGTTCGACTCACCGAAAACCTAATTTGCTGACCCAGCTTCCCCAACTAGGGGTGTGATCCTTCCCAGCGCAGGTATGAGCTCAGGACCCTTTCATATAGGTGGAACAAACTCTTCCTGGGCAGGTCTGAGCTCCTGAACCCTTCATGTAGGTGGAACAAACTTCTCCTGGGCAGGTCTGAGCTCCGGGCCCCTTCATATAGGTGTCCTGGGCAAGTCTGAGCTCCGGACCCCTTCATATAGGTGGAACAAACTCCTCCTCAACGGCTCCCTTCATTTGCATGGAACAAACTCCTCCTTTGGCCCGGACCTTCAGAGAGGTGGAACAAACTCCTTTTGAGCAGGTCTGAGCTCCGGACCCCTTCATATAGGTGGAACAAACTCCTCCTGGCCAGGTCTGAGCTGCGGACCCCTTCATATAGGTGGAACAAACTCCTCCTGAGCAGGTCTAAGCTCCGGATCCCTTCATTTACGTGGAACAAACTCCTTGTGGGCCAGACCCCTTGAGAGAGGTGGAACAAACTCCTTCTAGGCAGGCGAGCTCCGAATCCCTTCATTTACGTGGAACAAACTCCTCCTGGGCCGGATCCCGTCCTCAGAGAAATAAACAAACTCCTCTTAACCAGGTCTGAGCTCCGGACCCTTCATATATAGGTGGAACAAACTCGTCCTGGGCAGGTCTGAGCTCCGGACCCCTTCATATAGGTGGAACAAACTCCTCCTGGGCAGGTCTGAACTCCGGATCCCTTCATTTACGTGGAACAAACTCCTACCCCTTCAGAGAGGTGGAACAAACTCCTCCTGGGCAGGTCTGAGCTCCGAATCCCTTCATTTACGTGGAACAAGCTCCTCCTGGGCCGGATCTCTTCAGAAAAATAAACAAACTCCTCCTGGGCAGGTCTGAGCTCCGGACCCCTTCATATAGGTGGAACAAACTCCTCCTGGGCAGGTCTGAGCTCCGGACCCCTTCATATACGTGGAACAAACTCCTCCTTCCTAAGCCAGGCGCGCAGCTCCCACAGTGAAAGCACGAAAAGCAGCAATCACTTGCAGGCGCCATGACTGTGCAGTATAGCTTGTGAGAAACTACAAGTCAAGGCAGCGCAGCTCCGCGCGCTGCCAGTGTTGCTGTTCCGAGTCCAGCACTGCCATGAACGACATGCCTTGTCCAGCTCCAGTCAGTCGCCAGTCGTGCGCCAAGAATGCAACAGCAGACTGCCAGTTCAGTTCAACGCAACTCCGTTTACGTGAACTCCCAGAGTTAATCCCGTAACGGCATCATGGGACACTCACAAGTGACATGTGTGCACCCGAGCCTGCCTGGCTCTACACAGAAAAAGACGGACAAAGGCTTGACGCAGCATTGGGATAGCGCTTGCGATTTGACAAAGCAACTTCTTCTGGGGTAGTTCAGAAGCAGAATCTGTGTCAAAATCTCGGCGAAATTCCTTGCCACATGTACATATTATCTTTATTTAACTGCACGCTGCTGGGGATGGGCTACCTCACGGCGTCTACGCCATGACCTTGTTGAACCACAGACGCGTTTGCCATTTTTTGCCACGACTTGCTTGCGCTGCCTTACGACGGCTCCCGTGCTGGCGCACGTCGCTTCGCGACGCCTTGCCGCATGATTCCAGCTGCACGCAACAATGTGAAAGCAGTGCGCTTCTTTTGTCGGCGAATGGCCTGCTCAGCTTGCGGCGGCGGCTGCCGCTGCTTGCCAGTGAGCCGTCTGATTACGGCAGCCTGGCGCAAGACCAGCTTGCGCCTCGCAGAGGCATGTTGGTCCCGAAGCCGCTTGAGTGGCAGCTGCTCAGGCCTGCCCTCAACGAACCTTTGCCAAGCTCTTGCGCTCCACAATTTCTGCCCCAGTCGTCGTGCCAAAACATGACCAGGTGTCATCTGTCTGGCAGTGGGTCGATAAAGAGCAGTGTTGTGCTCCAACAGCTTGCGCAGCCGGAATGCGGAACACTTCAAACGAAGAGACGACTGATGCATGGACTGAATTTGCCGGAACCACGAGCGCATCTCTGCGTGCAAGGCCTCGTTCGAGGTTGTGCCTGACGCCAAAAGGCTTAGCACAGAGCCGGGTTGTGTTGACCGAAACCGCAAATTGTTCAGCAACCATTCCAGTCTGTCCGCTTCGGCCGCATGAGCGAGATGATCATACACAAACATTCCCTTTTTCTCTCCCTTGCGCTCAACCTCGTGGCGGAACATCTTGGAGATTGCGGCCAGGGACTCGACAAACTCGGTTCGGTTTGCCCACACCACCTTTTCTTCGACCTGCTGCAAGATAGACGAAGCCTTTCTCGTGGCCATGCCACCTGAGCGAATCTGCTCACGCAAACATGCTTCTCGCGCGGACAATGATGTCGCGCTCGCGCCAGAAAAAAAAGGGCCCCAATGCCCCGCAGCAAAACTTGCGTCGGTTGCGTTGAACTTGCCTAAGCACGCGCGCAATCTTCCGGAACCTTTCGTTCTTCGGCGCCCTGTTGCGTACTCATATTTGATGGCTAGATGAACTGGGTCCAGACACAAGCATTGCAGGTTGGGCATAATCGACTGCAGGAGCGAGAACATGTGAGAAGACGGTGCGTCTGTGGCCACGCACTGGACTTGGGCAAGAGCTGCCTGAGGCAAGTTGCACAGAAATGCCTCCTGCAAGTGTTCCGCCTTCTCTGAAAGTAACGGCCAAAAGCCGACGACTGCTCCAGAGCGTCCCCGTACAGTCACTACAGTGTGAATCGCGTCTGCCCCGTTGATGAAGAGTGGCTCAGACTTCCTTTGCTTTCCACCAGGCTTCTTCTGGCCGAGAAGCGGCATAGTGCACTTCACAGTACCATCGACGGAAAGGTAAGTGAACTCGTTGTGCTTCACGCATTCAAGCAGGAGTTGCTGCGCAAGCCTTTGGCAAACTCTGGAGCTGAAAATGTCTTCCACCATAGGCCACCAGGACCTGCTGTGCACGGGAAAGAGGTTGGTCAGCTTGGACCCAGCCACTGAAGCATCCAGCACCATTCGAGTCCATGCAGTGTGCACCTGCCCGGAGGAGTATGATTTTCAATAGATATAAGATTCTCACATCTCAGGTTCTACAACGCTGCCAAACTCACGCGATCACTTGCAGCGCATGCCTTCCCCGAATTGAACAACATTTCGCGAAAAAGCTTCTCGGCAAAGCAGTGCGTGAAATGGAGATCACCTGCTCTTCGGGCTTTCAAGGAGAACACCGCATCTGCTCGAGCATAGAAAGGTCCTTGGCAAACAGCAATGCACCTGTCAAACTATTGGAGTGCCTAGCAAACCGTTGTCAGCCTGTCCTGTAGCAGAGAAGATAAGACGTAGGTGTCTGTCGATGGCGTTGTTCTTGTGACTGAGAGCTGGCGTCACTTGCCTTGCAGACTCGCAACAAACAAAAA